AAATGCAATTGTAAAGGGGTTGCTGATTCTATAAATACGATTACTCTTTTAATTGAATCTTAAGAGGCACGTATAATTTAGTTACTATTTTTATGTGAAGTGAATTATTTGATAACTAAAACTGTGAAATTAACTCTATAAGAAAGTACATTTCTTTCTCTATTATCAAACGAATTGTAAGTTATATTTCTCATGCTTTATTTTCATGGGTAGTTTTAATTAAAATTACTATTTTCATCTGCGTTATGATCTTTAAACGTGCTCATAATATGCTATTATCTTATTTATTAATTATGCTGATTAATTTTAAATAAAATAAAAATTTTAAGTACTCAAAAAATTGATATAATATTACAATAATGTGATAAATTAGATAACTACTATGTAATAATTAACATAAGGCTAATTGTAATAAAGCGTTAGGACTATATTAAGAATTGTGTAATACTGCATACATTAGTGTTCTCGTAAAATTGAAAATATCTACATGAATATAAAACTTATTTCCAACACTTTCTTATGGTGCTCAAAATTTATACTCACAAAATTTGAAAGTTTTTAAAAGAAATAAAAAATTCAGTGAAAAACTATATAAATTAATAAAACGTCCAAAATTATCAAACTGCTTTAGAAAACAACTATTTATTAATGTTAATTTCTTATAATACTGAATTGTGAACAAACAATGTTATTGATAAATGTTTGTCTTTGAAATCTCGGGAAAAAAATCTTGATCGTACATCCCACGTGAGAACATTCTCATTGCCTGGTCAATTATTCTTTTCAATTATATATTAGAATAGAAATAAATTTCAACGAGTAATGACAAGGCAACGGAGGAATTTGAGTATGAATGGTATACTTCTTTTGACTTGAGAGTATGAGGAAATACAGGGAAACCATGTACTTCTCACCTCGGTGCTAGTATTGCTTGAAATGGACTTTACTCTCGAAAAATCAATGAAGCACCCCCACTACTTCCGACTGTATGTACCTCTGTGAGCCACACTACATCGGCGGCGGTACTACACGCGACACTTGCAAATAAATGCGAACGTGCAAGTGGTTCCTTTGAATTCGTTAGTGCGTGAATCAGCCTAATTGGAAAACCAATATTTTGTTGCTTTTTATTTAATCATGAATGTAGTGGTAAAATTTAATTGTGAAAAAACTACAATCCATTTATCATAAAGTGTCTTTCTCTGTATTGCTTCTTTCAATATTTCTATAAATTCATTTAAAATACCTTTTATCAACATGATATAATTGTTCTTAAGACTTTATTAATTTTTTAAAACATCGTTATTATTCAAATAGGAGATGTGTAATAGCAGGTAAGAAGATAAGCAACAATTTTATAGAGCAGCATACATTTATCTGGAAGTAAATTGTGAGCAGTCAATTTTAAGTTATGTTTATTTCAAATAGGGTTTTAATTTTTAAGTTAAAATAATGTAACACTTGATAAATCTTTAGAATACAAAAAACTTTTGTACTAATTCTAATTTATTGGTATTTATAGTTACATGTTTTTCAATAATTTGAATTAGTGTTTGAAACATGACGTACATGTGTGGAAGCTATAAAAGGTGCGCAGATTCAATTACATTTTTAAGATTTTTAATTTAATATTATTTTACAGATATATTGTATTATAGAATCCAATTTTTCTATTCTCTTGTAATATAATTAAAGAGTTGTAAACAATTTTGTATTAGACTGCTTATTAAATAAACTATTTAATTTGTTCTATCTTTCAGTTATTACTTTACAGAGGATTTTTCTTACTAAGATTTATATTATTAATGTTTTAATGTCTTAAATTATAACATTAATTTTTGCTTTAAATAAAGTTTTTGATGATAATATATACCTTTTTCAAATACTAAAATGTTTTAATTCACTTTATATTTATATACACGGTAAAATAACTATTAGTTACACTTGAGCAAGTATTGCGACATAAAAATTTACAGATGTGTTTCAAATAATATAAGAGAACGCATATATGCACAAATTACTATGAAAAATATAAACTACATATGTATTAAAATACATTCACTATGACAAATAATTTGTAAATCAATATTGAGCATATTAAAAGAAAAATTTTTTTATTTAAGATAAACTTGTAAGTATTTTCAATATTCGAAAAAAATGTAAATGATCTAAAATATATAGACATTATATATAATGTCTATTATATATATGTATACAAAATATATAGGCATTATTTAGTTTGTACGACTTTATTGAAACATCGATGTATAAAAATGATGAATATTAAACGAAATATTATATTTGAATGTGGTTTTAAATTAACGAAATCGAAAATGTTTTTATTTTTATTTTTATAAATATAATTATTAAATATTTTTTATATCAATTTTAATTAAAAATAAATTGAATACTACGTTGCTTTGGTAAATTTCAACCGATGTAATTAAAAATCAGAGAATTGTGTTTGAAAAAAGTAAGATTGAAAAACAGGTAAACAGTTAAATAAAAATGATTTTGGTAAAATACCGTTTAATGTATGTATATGTGTTTTATGGAAAATATTTAAGTTATAAAAATTCTTTTATAACCACAAAAATATTTTTCAAATGAAGAAAATGTAGTTACTATATGTAGTAGCTTAAATTGAATCCTTAAAGATTAAAAAATCATTAATTTAAAATATTAACAGTTACTACGGCAAATTCAAATGCTTCGATCAAGTGTTACAATTTATTACAAAAAATAGTTTTTACTGTTATACTTGAAAATATATTATATGTATAATCGTATACATTACATATAATTTTATTTTTATAACTCTACAGTATTAGAAAAATGACATTTTTACGCTAAAGATTTTTAAAAAAATTAGAGAAACTAGTTTAATGAAAAGAGTAGGAACAATTTAATAAAAGAAGTAATAAAATCTGAACTTAAATGAAAAGGTGTTTATTCTGATTTTAGATAATGTGGCTCAAATAAAATGTACAGGCTCCATTGTAGAATTTTTCTAATATGTGTATGAGTCAATTGCATTTAAGCGGTGTTAATTTAGAGTATCGTTTGAATATAATAATTTATATCCGTATTATTTTTCATTATCATTAATAAAATAATTATTCTTTAATAATCATATTTTTAAGTGTTAAACATATCTTTAAGCTTTAAAATTTCTCTAAAATGTGAATACATTACAAAATATATTAGATTATAAAATATATTATTATAATAATTATTAAATTACGTGTATCGATTTTAAGTTCCAAATGTAACTTATAATCTGTATAAAAATGCTGATATGTTTTACTTATAATAAACAATATATGACTTACATTTTTAATATTATGTTGATTTAATGGAATTATATTACATCTTTCATATTCAAATTTATCAATAACTATAATTAAAAACTTTTAAATTATATTTAATTAATTGTCAGGTATACAGATACTCAATATGTATAACACAAATTTCAGTTTTCAAACTTAATAATTTAAATATATTTAGAATATTCATTATAATTAAATAATATTTCTAGAAAGCAAAATAATGCATTATTGTCTTCAGCATATGCATTTTTACAAATAAATTCTCATTTTTAATTCATTATTTTTTTTCAAAATAAAATAAATGTTCACTTTATACTTTTATATTTATTTAATTATGCAATGAAATTTTTATTTAAATTATATATAGCTTAATATCCTCTATGAATCGTTATAATTTAAAAACATTTAATACAATTTTTAAAAAAATTAATTCGTGAAATTATAGAAATCTAGCAGGTATATAAAATTAAAAAACAGAAACATATTATATTACAAAAATAGATTAAATTAAATTTATTTAAAATCTTCTAACGGAATATTATAAAATCATGCTATAAACGTTTGTCCTTTTCGCTATCGTACATGCATAATCACGTGTGTATCTATGTTGATGTAAAGGACATTGAATTAATAAAAGTATGTTAAAAAAAAAAGGGAAACAAGTGCAGGGTCGAGATTTCCGAGGTGATATTTATAACAGATAGTAGTAATAGTCGACTCGTGCGCGGACACGATTGTCCGAAATCTTAAGTTCAAGGATACAAACTACTAATGTCGCCGTCTTATTGACTTATATACTAAATCGCATGTACTTAATTTTATCTCTCCCTCTCACTTTTTTTCTTTCTGCTGTTATAACAATAACATGTCAGCATTATTTCTAGTTCCGGAATGCAGGGTTCTTTCTTCATCGATACTCTTTAATTTCTAAAAATATGATTTTATCTTTTTTCAAAATTCTGGATTTTATTAATTTTATTTAATTTAGTATCAATACCCTCAGGTTATAGAGTATTAAGTACAACTATATAAATGCTTATTATTGTTAATTTAAATAGTAATTAATAGTTATTAGCAACAATAGCAGTTATACTTCATTTGATTATTCAACTTCGTAGAATCTCATATAATTGAATATATTTTTGAAATTAAAAGATGTTCCTATCGATAAAAAACAAAACCTTATTTTCTTAAATGATATATTAATTAATAATAATTGAAATATAGTTTTGGATTATAAAAATGCGTGCACAATAATTATAGTAAACATATACAAAAATTATAGAAATTTTTTTAATAATTTTAATTTATAATTTTATTTGCTAATGAAAAAGATTTATTACTGAAGTATGTATTTTATTTAAACATAAAAGGAATAAATACATTCAATTTTATTGTTAAAAAATTATTAAAAAAAAATTAAATTATTAAAATCTAAAATTATATAATAGATAATACTTATAATAAATATAAATATATTAAATTATAATAATTTTAATATTAGCACATTAAATATATTTTATAATATAATAGTTTTGAAGGCAGATGGCACTTTTAATTAATTAAAAATCTAATAAATATTAATTTTTGTAACACTTTTTATATAAATATACAAGGAAGATTTATGGATGATGTAATTCATTAAATTTATTAACATTGTCTTGTCGACAGAATGATGGACACGGCACGGAAACGGTACAAGAGCTCGACGAGGAGATGGAAAAGGTGTTTGCTATGGATGCCGGGGAGAAATTCGACGTAGCCCGATTCGGATCTCCCTCAGAATCAATTGGATCAGATCGCAATCGAGGTCCAACAATTCCTCGCTATGGTGATCGCGATCTTAATCGTGAGTATTTGATTTATGAATGAAATATATAATGATTAAATTTTGATAGTCATAACTAATAAGTTAAATATTTAATAAGTAGTGTATGCAATGCATATAATGAAATTAAATAATATCTAATTGTAAACTTGAATTGAAATATATTTTTTCTATATATTTTATGTGATTTATAATGTAATTTTTGAATGAATACAAATTTTTTCACATAAATATTTAAGTTTATAGGTTTATATTTAAGTAGTTTATAAGACTCACAAGTAGTTTATAAAGTTTCAGATTAGATAATTAATACATTATTTCATGTTAAACAAATTAATTTAAATAAAATATTTTGAAGTACACATTTTAAAAAATTATTTAAAATTTTATATAAAATTTAATTATATATATTCTTTATATGAAAATTCTTTTAAATCTATAAATATAAAATAATTTATTTTTAAAAAATACTTGACTTAACTATTGTTGATGCTAATAATGTTGCCTTAATCAATAATTTAAACTATAAAATATCTTCATTCGTTAAAATTTATAACAAATACAATATAAATATTTGAGAAGGCTTCTTTTATACATATAAATTATTATCAAGAATTTATTTTACAGTGTCTATATACATCTTTATAATTTAATTTTTATGTTTTTTTTATAAAACATTTGCTAATTATCAGTTATATTTTAATCGATATTATTCCATACTTTAATTGCATACATCGTTTGAATAAAAATATTATTAAATACAAATAACAATATATTTCTAATAAATTTACGCTTTAATAACAAATAATTTATAAAGGAATAAATTTATTTAAAAGTAATTTAAGTTAAATTATTCTACTTTGAATCGAACGTATGATTTTTATGGTTATAAACGGATAATTATGGAATTTTTTAATTTTCTATCTATATCCTAAATATTTTCTATTCTAAATAATCATATTTTTAATATTATCAATTTTTTATTATAAATGACGTGTTTGTGTACTCAAATGTAGTATTTAGATGCAAATTTGGCTTAAGGGATCAGAATTATAAAACCTCGAGTGTTAGAAATGTGACTTTTAATAATTTGAGTTTTAATTATATTACATACACTTGCAGTTTTTATATTTTACACAGTGAGAATTTATACACGATGTACCCCCTTATAATGAAATCGAGAAAAGAATTCAGTTATATCGAATTTCTAATATCTATTTTACGTCTTATTCTTATTTCCTCAATTTTATAGCATTTCTCTGTCATCTCTATAATGCTACATGCTTTGTCATGCTTATATGTTATTTTGTTAAAGTCAATTAGTATTGTATTTTTATCACACGTTTTTTGTATCGTAAGCAATTTTTTATTGATATTATATATGTTACATTTAAGTCATATTCTGAAATTAAAGTCTTTTAAGCACGTATTTCTGAATTTGTATACTAGTATAGATAAAAAATTAAGTATTTAACTTCATTCGTTAATAGATTCCTTTTAAATGAATTATTACAGATTAGATATATGACTTTTAGAAAAATTTATATTTTAATACAAATAAGTGTTAATATTATAGAAATGAAATTTTATCAATGTTAACTTATTCTTAACATTTAATATTCTATATATAAATTATATAATTCTTTAAATTATTTAAATAATTCTAGGTTTATTGCATAAACTAAAATGTTCTTTAAAATATTATCTTATTAATGTACTATATCTTAAAGAATTTTATATTTAATACTAATTTATGTGTAATCAAACTGATCGATTATTTTATGAATATAAAATAAAGAATATTATTTTTGTGACTGCATTGAATAGAAAAGTTTCTTATGAAAAAATTATACATAGCTAGATGGAACTGAGTTAATAAGTGATACACAGCTACTATACTATTGTTAATTCAAAGACTATTAATTTAAAAATTCGAATTTTTGACATTTCTACAATTATTTTATATAAAGAATAGTATGAGAATGTGATCATTCTATTATAATTTTAATTATTTGTAGGATTAGAAGGTTGAAAACATCATCTATAAGAAACTAACATAACCTCTTTTCAAAAGTATAATCAAAATAAATTTTATTGAATGTACTTTACTTATCATTTGGTAAAATACTTAATAATTCTTGTAGCTAAATAAATATTTATTTAGTTAAACAATTTAGTAAAGAATAGTTTTTAAAAAGATTTTATAAATTTTATTATATTTGATTATTCTAAAAAATAATTTTTTTAAAAAATATTTATAAATTTTTTCACTTTTATATTTATTATTATAAAGCAAATGGATTATAATGAATATTAGAATATTTTAATAAGACTTATAATATTGTATGCAAATATAAAATATCGTATAAGTTTATATATGGAAACTCATAATTCATGTATTTTTCTGAATATTAAGTGTTAAACAGTATATATGATATTGTTACATTACATATAATTTTTGTTTCAGAAAATTTAAAAATTGTTTTCTTTACAAAAATTTTAAACGAAAAGTTGTATTGAAAACATATACGGAATTTCAAATCTATACACGTATGCTTATTATTTTATATTTAAAGTATATGTATAGCAAATAATTCTAAGTATATCAGAGTTATGATTTAAATAATGTATGTTAATTCCGCATAATTTTTTATTTCAGCGATAATAATTTTCTTTAATTATTACAGAACATCGGAAAAGAAGTTATCCACACCCACATATGCCTCTAAAGAGTCTTCATTCAAGATCTATGCGACGACATTTATCACCGTAAGTGATACATTTTTAATAATTTATTTTTATGATTTAGTATTATTTGATATATCTATATAATCTTTTTGTTCATAAGAAGATTCTATTTCAAATGCAATTAAATACATTTTTAGTATCAAGTACTAACGCATATATATAAATATAATATATTATAATATATTAAAATATATTATATTATATAATATATAAAATATATTAAAATATATAATATATATTCTATATTATATAATATATATATAATAATAATAATAATAACATTTTTAATAAAATATTTATCTACATTTATTAAGACTCTTTATTATTTTAATAATGAAAATAATCATGTTATGACTACAAGTAATACAAAATTAAATACAAAGTATTTAAGAATAATCATCTTTCAAACGCAGAATTGAAACTCAGAACCTTCTATTAGATAAAGTTTGACAAATTATTCTGTTTGACAAAAAATTGAAAATATAATGATTCTAAACAATGGTTACAAACTATTAATAAATATTAATATTAATAAATATCTTAATAAAAAGTCTAGTTATTAAAAAATTATCTTACTTAATTATACAAATATTACAAATGTTCATTGGTAATTGTTAATCTGACATGTCATTCAATAAGAAGATTCCATGTGTAATTTATTTTGAATTTACTTCTTCGTGATAGTATAAATAATATTATATTTTGGATTCTCGTATACAAGTTGATAAACTTGACTGAACTTGACTGAATTTTTTATAAAACCATTTTTTTTTTAATATTATATCTCACTTTTATTATAATAGTTGTATCAAAAAATAACGATGTCAAATATAAATACTCATAATAATCGCATAGAACTTCAAAGACATTAATTTTTTCATTTATCAATATATGTTTTGAAATTTTTTCTAATTTTCATTTTTAAATGAATATATTTTTACAATTTTTTATTAATTAATAGTAATAAAATGTTAAATTAAAGAAAATATTTTAGAAATACAAATATGTGGTGTTTATTATTTTAATTAATTTGAACGTTTTTATAAAGTTTATTAAAACCATCATGTATTTCAATATTTTTTTTTAACCTTCAAGATAAAAATTATAAGAATAACTATTTTTAATGTTGAGCATAAAGGGTCATGAATAACATATACATGAATTCGAGGTAATCTAGAAAAATCCTTTATCTTCTATTTTTCAGTTATAAATATTATTTACATTTCTTTTACATCTTTGTTGATAATTATATATCTATTACGTTTTAATTTTTTTTAATTATTTTACTTTTTGATGGTGTTTAAATTATGTCATATACAAACTTAAATTTAGTTTCTTAATTGATCCTTATAGGGTATTAACATTCAGAAACTTCTTCACAATGAATGAAATGTAAAAATTGTCCAATATATATTATAAAATAATTTTATTCCGTGTTTATATATTGTTTTATGTATTTAGAACAGAAGTTTATACAATTCTATAATTAATATTGCTTTAATCCAACACAATTATTTTATTAAAATATGTTAGCCATTCTTTAGATTAAAAAAGAAATTATATTATAAATATATTGCAATAGAATAATTAATGATATTATTGGATTAATTAAATAATAATTCTTAAGTTGAGTAAAAAATGCGTAAATTATAGGTAAAGTAAATTTTAATGACAAAAAATAATATACCATGTATTTTTATAGTATAATTATTATTAGTAAATATTTTTCTAAGAAATACTTATTAAAACTTTCTATGGTTTTAGTTTTCTTTGCATTTTTTGACATACTTTATTTTTAATAATAATTATTAGTTTTAAAAGAAAAATTTAATATAATTATAAGAAAAATTTAAGATTTATTCAAATAGCTATATTTGTAAATATTTTACATTTAAAATGTATTCATACTTAGAGTTTTAAATAGAAACATATTTTACTTACAATAAAATGTTTAAATTTCATGTGTATCTGTACTCAAATAATCAAGAATAAATTTTATTTTAAATAATACTTATATTTAAAATTACATATTTGAATTTAGTGAATATCAACATTAATGTTTATCACTCTTTTTTTTAATGAAATATTTCTTCAAACAATTTTTTTTTTTTGTAATACATATCTGTAAATATAATATCGTTATATGGTACCATTTTGAGAAATTATTTAAACTTGTAGTTGGATTAAATATTTTAAATAAAAACAGATCTGGAAAAAATATTTTATTAATCAAAAGAAATATATACTAATAGTGTAAGAATAGTGAGAAAAATTTAATAGAGAAAGTGTAAAAGAATTGTTTATGTTTCAGCGAAGGTTCTATAGGCTCCGAAAATAATTTGGAAGAAGAGGCGTTTACAAACGGTCTTAGCGGCAACGGTAATGTCCCAGTGTCGGACAGAACAGTGGACCAAATTAATTTATTCAATTACACAAAACCTCACTTGGAAGATGAAGAAGATAAAGAAGATTCTGATGATGGCAAAGTATGATTTTCTTTAACTTTGTACCTATAAACTATATAACTGGAACTTAATTATCATATATAGTTACAGTAAAGTACTGTATTATTTGTATTTCAAGAATTAATTTTTAAATAATTGAATATCAAGAGTTGTATATTTTACAACGGTATTTAACATATTACTATAATAATCTGATATTTCAGAAACTATTAAAATAATATTTAATATAATTCTAAAATCATTTATAAATATTTACTTAAGAATCATATTAATACTTATTATAAAAAAATTGAATGAAACTTTAAATATTAAAATTATTCAATGAAAAATATATAATTGTCACAGATATAATTATTATAAATAGTAATTAATGTTATTTCTATAAAAATTATGTTCATTATATGTCGAAAATTATAACAGGCTGAAGATGTTACCAAGCCACTTGCGGATATCGCGGAAAACATCATCAGCAGCGAAAGTGAAGCACCACTCTCTGAGAGGGCGGCTTCTTGTTTTAGCGAAAGTCCATCAATTGGTAGCCCGAGGGTGCAATTCGAGAAAATACGAGAAGAGGACGGACACGTGATGAGCGTCAATGAGTTCAGCGATGAAGACAGAAAGTGCCGGCGACATCATAAGCATGACCATAAGTGAGTATAAGACATTAAAATCGATCTATCTTAAATAGACTAATATATACATACATGTATATGTACTAATAATACTTTTTTCTATCATAAATAAACTACTATCCTACCACCATTTTACTGAACTAAATATTTAATTGCAATTTACCTACAATTATATTTCCAAATCCTTAAATCTTTCTTTCAAATTAAAAAATATATATTTTTTAATTAAGTTTATTTTGCAATAAATATAAATTTTATTTTAAATAATAATACATTATTTAATACAAATTTTAATAATTAATATTAAATTCAAGGAGTTGAAATTTTTCTAAAGTAATTAAGACAAGTATTACATTATAAATTTTTACGTATTTAATACACACAATCACACACGCGCGTGCGCGCGCGCGCGCATACACACACACACACACACACACACACACACACACATATATATATATACAAATTGCATATATAATTCATTTATTTCATAATTCATGCTTAAGAATAAATCTCAATGGTATCTTATTCTTTATTTTGTATATTTTTTTAATATAATCTTACATCATATTTTTTATTTTTATTAATTATTAAATAATTAAAAATGAATTAAATTTCTGGTATAAGAATTTTAATGGTATTAATAACATTTGCATAATAATAATTTATAATGTTTTCTGAATATTTAAAAAATGATGAAATAAAGTAAGTTAGTTATTTACTCATTTATATATATATATATATATAAATGATCAACTGAAATCTTTATGATATTTTTTATGCATATATTTAAGTATACCTTTTATTTATATTTGCAAGTGAAACAAACATTTAAAAAAAAATCAGAATTTATTGAGAAATATTCCACGAAATAATTAAAAAATGAGTTTTGAAAAATAATAAAGATGATATAATACATGTTATAATGCCCGAGTATTTAATGCCAAAGCTACCAGTTAGGTTTTTAATGAACGATTCAATTTTATGATATTTTTATATTATATAACTTAATTATTTCTATTTTAATGAATGTATAAAATTTCTAAAAAGTATCTATTTGCCCATCAATCAATTTATCTATTTATTTATATATTATATCTATCTATTAACATTCCTATCTGTTAAGGGGAAGAGAGAGAAAGAGAGAGTGTGCGTGAGAGAGAGAGAGAGAGAGAGAGAGAGAGTGAGTGGGAGAGGGAAAATCTAAGAAAGGATTAGTATTTGTGAGTTGCTACATGCAACTAGCATAAATGTGAGAAGACAGCTAGATCACTCGGCATGACTGCCAGATTTCTTGGCCAGGGTCCGTGTTTCAGGTCTTCATCATCATCGGAGCTTCCGAGACTCTCTGTGCGTGTAGTTCTCTTGGCTTGTACATGTACACACGCGCATGCGAGAAAAGAACTTAAACCATGCCTGTGCATTACGATCGTTCGTCCGATCGTATTGGTGATATCCGTCGGTACGATGTTTCTTATGGAAATAACAATTGCTAACAAGCCATTTGTTCATTTAATCGATTCATTAGTGTTTCAGTTCTGTATTCGCGGTTGAATAGTAATACACTATACGAACAGATTACATTGATTGGTTGGCTTTATGTGTTTGCGCTGGTGTTTCAAAAGTTTTGTAGTTTTAAAAATATTACGATTCCTTGGTTGGTGTCATAATACTTAAAAACATAAATATTATTTTCATACGAATTACAAAGTAAAGGATAAATTACTGAAATCCTGATAATATGCTTATGGCAGATAATAAAGTTTATATTATGTACTATGGAAATATGTATATCATAAAACATAAAAATATTAATTAATGAATTCTATGGAAAAATACTGTTAGTTTAAATTTGAAAATTTCTTGTATCAAATATTTGTTCTATATTTTAAGTGAAAACTTATTTCATCTTAATGAAACATCACTAAATAAATATATAATTTATCAAAATAAATTAAAAAGGTCTGTATAATTTTTTATTAATAATACATAATAGTTACAGTGAGAAAAGATTAAATACTAGTGAATCATAGTTCTTAATTTATTAAATTTTATTTGACATTAGGTTTTATTAAAAAAATTTTTATAAAAGATTAAGTAGCAAATTTTATAAATTATTTAAGTCTACATGTATTGGATCATTCGAATTAATTTAATTAATCATTCGAATTAGTTAATCATTCGAATTAGTGTTGTCTGGCAGAACGTGTCATTTCAGTGACATTGTATATATAAAGCACTGCATAACAAAAGAATTTCTCCTAATTGTACGTAACACGTATGTAAAAAATTTATTTGTCATTCATTTTCCTCTTTTTATAAAATTACACTCCAAAAAGTAAGTGAAAAGTAATCATATAATTTGTTATATAAATTGTGAAGATCATTTTCACTTTTAAGATTATAAGGTCAAGTAAGCACGAATATTAAACCTTCGAATAATGTAAATATAACCTCAGCAGGAGGAAAATTCGAACTTGAATGTCTACGCTTTACGAATGTGGATAAAGATAAGAAGCTCTGCCAATTTGACTCTGTAGAGCATGTACAAAGAAATCTGCTTACGTGCCAAAAAATAGTCGAGAATATTAACACTAATGTATATGTTACATTTATTCATCTTTATATGCCTCCTATCTTTTATAAGTTGTTAATTATATAGTTAATAAGAGGAGTTATTCATCTTGAATTAATTATATTGTATTCCAATAAGTAGAGTATAATTTTCTACTATGAGTAATTAGTTAAAGGTTTATATATCGAATTGCCTACTATATTAAATTTATTTTATTAATTGTATAATGAATTCCCTTAAGTAAGAACGTACTTTTTGGCATTCTTCTGAAAAAATTTCAATGAAATGTATAAAAATCATAGAATTATATTGTACCTATAATTTTGAAAAAATTAAAGTTTTATATGTACACTATATTGAATAAAAATAGAATTTTATATTTTATATTTATATCATAATAAGAATTTTTATGAAGCAAGTTACCTAATAATTAAGTATAAGGACGTTATAACTTGTTCAGCTGTTTCAGTTATAATAGGTATTTAAAATCGTAACATTATAAGAATATGCAGTTAATAATATTTGCTATATCTGTTATATCATAATATCTAGAAAACGCATTATGGTTTATAAAATTATAATCATTTTTTATTATTATTGTTTTTTAATATTCAAGTATAGAAAGTATAATTTATAATAATTAACGAATGAGACAGATATTTAATTCCCAAAATTTCTAGAAGACATCACCATCATCACCATTACCACCACAAGTCCCGAAAATATTCCCTGCAAGAGGATCCACAATGGCGAAAGCGCTCAGGAGCTGGTCTACCCGGCGAAAGTGGAGGGTTCCCCGGGACAGCAAGCGGGCGTCGAGTGAGCGTCCAACCCGAGGAAGCCAAGACTCTGCAGGAGCTGGATATCGACGACCTCGAATCTCACCGCAGCGACGATCCACGTGGAATGCGCCGCCACAAGGCCGCCCATCCGACCGTTCAGATTGGTAGGCGGAAAGAGGGTGGCATACCCCACGAGACATTCAAGAAGATGTACGATCATTCGCCCCACGAAGTTTTTGTACAGTTAGATGAGTTACACGGTATCGGTGAGGAACGTGAGTGGCGCGAGACCGCCAGATGGATAAAATATGAGGAAGATGTCGAAGAAGGCGCTGATAGGTATTAGAATACAATTTTAAATGTTGTCCTACTAAAATGATTTATTGACATGATGAAATGATTTTTTTATATCCAAGGATCCGAGGAATGATCCAATTTTAAAACATTCAAAAGGAAATATTGTTTTTAAATATTATTCAATGTATTTATTATGAATTAAGAATTTAGCAAGTTAATTTTTAAATTTCAATTCACTACCTGAACGTATATATTATATTACAAAAATTACAGAATATTTATTAAAAATGCTATAATTTAGATAATTGTGTGTCATTTAAAATTGATGTTATATATATATTTGTCGTATCATTTTTTTATCGAAATACTTATGTAAATTCAAGTGATAGATAAACTAATACATATAATAAATCTCGTTTGAACGTATGAATAATATTTAATAATATTCAATAAGCTAATTTCGGTTCTTTTGAGAAATGTAAATATTAATAAATTAACTTTTTAAGTTTGAACATATATTTTAATCTTTCTATTATCATTCCTGAGATTTTTAATTTAATGTATAATTCGGTATAGTATTGTATGTAATTTATTTATATTTTAATCGACAGATGGGGAAGACCACATGTAGCTTCTCTTAGTTTCCACTCACTACTAAATCTGAGACGGTGCCTTGAAACTGGTGTCGTACTGCTTGATCTCGAAGAGAAAGATCTTCCTGGACTTGCATATCGAGTTGTCGAACAGATGGTTGTCGAAGAGCTGATTCTCCCTGAAGATCGACCCGTTGTTATGAGAGCAATGCTGCTGAGGCATCGACACGTGCATGAGCATGATCGGGGATTTAGATTTGGGACAAAAAGAAATTGTTCGAGCTACACGAGTTTGCAGGTAAGGTTAATTTTAAGAACTATTTTTAACCTTCTAGTTTTACTCGAAATGTGAAAATGATTGTTTGAGAGATTAATTTTTAGCTGAATATATATTAACTGAAAACTTGCTACTTCCAGCTTATGTATAAACGTAATGCTTTTAAATTCTTATTTAAATTGCACACTAATTAGAATGTTATTATTTAAACTATAAGAGTCGGTATATTTGCATTCGTAAAAGTAAATAAATTAGGTTATTATTTCTTTTAATTATTTTATTGTTAATGAAATATGCGTATATGATTTATTATTTTGATGTAATTGAATAATATTATCTAATCATTTTTAATGGAAACAAGAAAATATTTTTTTTTATTTTACTTCTAATAATACTATAAATAAATAAATAAATAAAAGTGTGGGTGTGTGGGTGGGTGGGTGGGTGTGTGTGTATGCGTGCGTGCGTACGTGCGTGCGTAAAATCTACGTTTGTAAATGACATTGTTCAATAAAACAAAAATATTATTTTGAGCTATATGATTAATAATCAGTGTTATAATTTATTATTTTTTATTATATATCTATATATACATAATAATTGATAGAATTTCATTAATATATTGTTATGAATAATGAAAATTGTTTTGTTAATACTGGACAATATACATCTAGTATTCTTTATAATTTATTGAGTGTTATTGTTAGAATGTAATTGTCGTATATATGTTTTAGACAAAATTTGGCACATAATATGGCTAAAAATTAATAACTCTATTCAAAATAGTATTTAGTACATGAAATTATCTTATTATAAAATTAATGTCTATATAAAATAAACATTTCAATTTATTAAAATGAAATTATTCGCTGTACTAGTATGTATCTTGCTCACAGATAAATATTTTACTTATATTTATTTACATAGATATCAAAATGTATTCATATATATTTAATTATTAGTTTTTACTTAAGCTATAAAAAATCGACACTATTAATCATTACAATTAAATGATGTATTTCTCCTTTTTTATGAATATTTCCATATTGTAGTCCTTATATTGACATTAACGATACTAATGAATAAGTTATAATATTATAAACTTATATATATTTTATAGAAAAGTCGAAAATATTTTTGATATTAATAAAATAATTTTTATTATTAAAATATTTTTATTAATTATTATAAATTATTAAAATAAAAAAATTAAAAAATAATTAAATATTTTTATTATTTATTTTATACTCTAAATAAATACAATACAATAATCTTAAATATAAAATTTTTAATAAGAATGCAGTAAGAAAAATTTAAAATTATTTATTTATTTATTTATAATATAATTAAAATAATATATTATCTATTATAAAATATATTGGAGATACCATTTATTATTTTTCAGAACCATGAACTAATTTTAGAAATTACAGCAAGCATTAAAAAAATGAAACATCGAAGTTAGATTTTTAATTTATTATCTTCTCTTACTCATAAATTAGTAGTTCGTATAATTTATATTTTAATGTTTTAAAATATTATATGCTTTAGTGGAATGATTTTTCTTTTAGATGCAATCAATGATGCTTCATATATATTTTTTAACTAAAATTTTTTAGTTAATACGTTATTAATGGTATGGCTACACATAGAATTTTGATAGTCAAATTTTATGTAAACCATACCATAATATTTAACGAGTAGAAGAAAATGTTTATTATTCCGTATAGTATTTAAATTTTTATAATAAATCTTTGAGCATGTTTATAAATCATTGTTTATAAATAATATTACCTTAACAGTTAATTAATGAAAAAAATTCTTCCTACACTCAAAGCAAATTTTACAATGATTTCTTACAAATATATTAAAAAATATATATTTTGACTAGTAAATAAATGGCAATGTAATTAGAATGTTCTACTTATTAACATTAATTAGTCTTTCTGAATTTACCCAGTAAATGGTAAATATTATTATATAACTAATAATTTGGAAATATTATGTTTCTCAGTTAGTAATAAATAAATATTACTTATTATGAAAAAATATATAATTTTGTTTATTTTCATTTTCATTTAATATTAAAATTTGTGCTACATACGTAAAGCAATCTGTTTTACAAGTAAAAAACATATAATTACTTCTGTTATATAAAATTATTTTATTTTATAAAAATATAATTTCAATGAAAGTGAAGATCCGCAAAATTGATTGCATATATAATCTTATTGGATATTTACTAGATTAGCTTAGTATTTTAATATATTCTACTGTAAAAAAATTCGATTGACTGATTGCCAGTACAATCCTGTCTTGTTTCCACAGTCTATCTGGTTTGACGAGGAAGATGCTTCGCGGGAAGGTGCTGAAAACAATGTAATTAAAAGTTGACAAGTCTCCCTTTTCGTTACTTTTAAATCCCATCACAAATTTTTGCAAAAAGTTTGGACTTCTATTATTATTAAACAATTGTTAATTTTTATTTCACACTTTTGTCTTTGAACAATCTAGTAATTATTTAAAATATAAAAATCAGTAACCCTACATTGTAATTATAATATAAGCATGATATATTTTACACGAACTAACAAACAATATTCTGAAAAATAAATCGTGAAAAATATATTTATGTATCATTTTTATAATTTATAATGCCAGTTTATGAATACAAAAAAATTAATTTTGATGTTGAAAATTTGTTTTGTCTCCAATTATCAATAACGCATAATCCGTGATCATATAATTATTTACAAATTTTATATTTTAATAGTGAAATGTATTTTTCAACGCACCATCTATCAATTAAAAAAATAAATCATAAATTTTAATCGATATAAAAAAATAGAAAATGTTTCATTGAACTATGAAATCAATTTTATTTGTGAATAACATTTAATTTTATTAAATAGTTGAAACAAAAACAAGTAAATTAAACTTTTATTTGCTTTTATTTGCTAAATTTTTATATATCTTTTACATACCCATGATTATATAAATTTGAATTTCAAAATAATGAATCGAACAATTATAATTGTAACAAATATTGACTTAATACGCCATGTACATTAAAATATATTTTTATTACATTTATTTAAAAAAAAAAATCAACATAAAAATACAGATTAATTTTTACATAATAAATTTTAAAAATAAACATAAAAAAATAATTTTTGTTTTATAAAAATTAATAATAATGTGTATTTTTATCATTTTATAACATCCTTAATTTGTATATGTAGAATATTAATATTATATTTATTATCTATTAGTTTTGTATTAAATATATTTGTCCTCTATATATTTATCATCAGTCAATTAAAAACTTTAAATTTAAAAAATACTAAACACTAAAGATAGTTGTGGTAAAAATTAAAAAATTTATTTTTCAATGATAACATATAATTTTTCGATGATAATTAAATTTCAAAATATCAGAAAAATGATTCCCCTTTATTAAAAATAACGATTGTTAGTAAAATAGAAATAATACTTATAAAATTTATTTTGTTAAAAATAATATAAATATACGTAAAACCTAAATTATATACATTAAATTATATAAAAATTAAAAATAAAAATTATACAAATTATGACACAGAAATATAAAAGATAAAAAATATGCAAATTGAATTATATAAATATAAAACACAAAAATATAAATTTTCCTAAATTTTATAAAATTTATGAACACATTAAAGAGTAATCGAATAGAATTTTTATAATATTAATTGTTTCATAACAAGTTTATATATAATATTTTATTATTCTATTATTTAAAAATACAAATAATGAATAAAAATATCAAATACCATTTTTGGTATGAAATCATAGTTTTTTATCCAAATGTATAATTATAATTTTGAACAAAATCATGATTGTTTATAAATAATTTATAAAAAATATACTATTATTTAAGAAATTATTGTTTGAAAAATTGAAAATTGAAATATGTATTTATAAATATAAAATGATATATATTATATTATATATAAATATAATATTTTTGGTATTAAATTTTCGTTATAAAAAGGAGAATGATACGTTTCTCATTTAGGACTCTTTTAATTGTATAATAATAGTCGAAAATCATACTTAATATATTACTATAATGTTGTGATTTATTATTACTCCTTTTTGTAAACAATTTATATTCATTGGAATATGTAAAAGGTTATGAAACTACTCTGTATTATCGATTCATACGACTTTAAATACAAATAATAATTATAATACCTTAATTTTAATTTTATAAAAATATCTATAAGAGTATTTTTTAATCTAAAAATAATATTTCACTAAAATGTATTTAATTCATAATCAAGCGCAATTAAAATGATATTGGAAAGTATAATTTATATCATAATACGAAATTTCATTTATATCATACTTTAATAAAAAATATTTCAATTTCTGAAATACTGTCTATAATATTGTGATCGAAAAAATTAAGAAATAATATTAAAAAAAAAACAACTTTTTTGATAAAATACCAAAAATATTAATGGTTGTAGGTTGTTAGACAATAACTAAAGTATCAGTGGTAACAGAATTCGTTAAATATACTATAAACAGTTTCAAACGTACTTGTTTGCAGCTTGCATTATTTTGCTTAATTTTCTGAATCGTACATACTCACATAAATGTGTGCACACAATTAAGAACATAACATGGAATTTTTTGTTATATTATGTTTTTCCGTATTTTCAACTGTTTTTCTTTTTGCGTTTTTATATCTCTAATAATAATAATATTATAAATAATAATTTGAGATCTATATATTATTTAGTAACTGTTTAAATCATATTATATCATTGCCAAAAGCTTGTAGCCATGGCAGCACCCCAATCAATACTGTGCATGGAATGAACTATATACTTAGTTTCCGAACTGCGATCTTTGTCCATCTTTCATATATAATTGTGTGACATTCGATTTTCACTATCCTATGATTCATTGTCGTATATCATCCATAAATTCCACTAGCTTTTTTTGTTAAAAAGTGTAGTACACCTGATTTTTTTTTATATCAAAGTTGTATTATACCTACATATTATAATAATAAATGTAGATGATTAAATGCATATTTAAACGTATAGACATTTTACATTATATTTCGGTCATCAATTTAAATATTAAATTATTTTGATTATCAATTTCAGATTTATTTATTTAGTGTATTATTTCTTGGTTTGTAATGATTAATTTTTTTAAAGAGAATAAATATTAGAAATTAAAAATTTGTTTGTTTGAGTTCTTTATAATAATTGTGCTATAATTTTAAGGTTTAGTAAAAATATTAACTTAAATTTTGCTGAAAATGATTAGCTATATGCAATTGATAGGATTTAAATATTTAAAATTTTAACTAGATAATGAAAAAAAAGTTAAGCACTTCGGTAATAAATATTATTTACTATGCATAAAAATATAATGTCTCTAAACAAAATATTATAAATAAATATAAGGAATCCTATTTTTATAAATAAAAATAATATATATTAATATTATACTTAATCAATTTTATAATCTTATTTAAATAACAAAAAAATATGTAATTTAAAAACAGCAGTTTTAAATTAAGAAGAAATACTTTTGTTTATTTTAATATATATTTCGATATTGTGGACAAAAAATTTTGGAGAATCAAATAAATTGATAATGTATGTATATTTTTGTTTTTATCTCATCGAACAAAATTAAATAGTTATCACATACATCTTCGAATATTTGACAAATCCTTATTTAAAAATCATTTTATTCGCATCGTTTACACTGTATGCCAATCCCTTCCATTAAGCGAGAAACTCAAACCATATTAATAAATAATGAAACATAATAATATAAAGCTAATTTTGTCGACAGAATTTACACGATTCGAAACCAAAGATCATTGCATCGAATCAAGCTCTGGATAGTAATCACACAACGGTCGATATAAAGGAGGAGCTCACGTTTACTAGTAGTAATGAAGACATGAAGAAGGGCCACAACGAGTATATCTTAAAAAGAATACCAAGTGGTGCTGAAGCAACCGTTGTGCTCGTGGGGGCAGTTGACTTTCTTGACCAACCAACAATTGCTTTTGTACGATTGGCTGAGGGTATGTTTGACTTTTTTTCTTTATCTATGTTTATATGTAACTATCCTGGCTTACTGAAGTGAAGATCTTCAAAATAAGCATGTATCGTTGGAATTCCTAATGTTTTATGGATAATATAATTATTATTACAACAGGATTTTATTATTTCGATAATTGTCTAGTGATTTAATACATTTTCACTTGTATTTGTTATATTTGTAATTTGTTTTAATTTTAAGTATATAAGTAAGGAAAAATTAACAAAATTATTGAAAAATAGAATATAAAGTTATTAGTACATTAAACAGCTTGAAAATAATTCTATCGAAAACTAATATTTATAACTTTATAATATGCTATATAATATTGTTATTCAATCATTTTGTTAATACTACTCTTAATTAATGTATTTGTACTAAAAGTAAGTACTTTAAGTAGTAAGTTTTTATAATATTAGTGAATAATGGATAGATGTAAAATTTATTTAAGAAATTAAATGTATTATAATGTCGATGAAATGATTATTAAAGTAATTATATTTGTTATTAAATTTTAATTTACATAAAAAATTTCTAATATTTAATTTTCTTCTATATAAATAATCTCATGATAGATTTCCTTATTTCAATTACTTTTTATAGATCGTACAGATTTGCATGTGTATAAATACGATTTTTCATGATCTTTAGGTATCTTGATCCCGGCCATTACCGAAGTAACCATACCAGTAAGGTTTATGTTCACTCTACTTGGACCGCGAAACTCTGACTTGGATTATCATGAGATTGGTCGGTCTATATCTACGCTAATGTCGAATACATCGTTCCATAAAGTCGCTTACAAGGCAAACGAGAGACGTGAGTTGCTCTCTGCTATTAATGAATTCCTTGACGATTCGATCGTCCTTCCACCCGGCGACTGGGAGAGACAGGCCCTGCTGCCCTTCGATGAGTTGAAGGCCAAGAGTGAAGCTATTAGGAAACGCAAGGCTAAGGCCATTGAAGAAAAGAAAAAGAAGCAGATACAAAGTGAATCGACAGTCGTGAAAAAAGGTTCGTTCGAATTACTTTTACATGAACCTCGTTATTCTTATTTAACTTCATCATGAATATCATAATTGAGACGTTAACTCTTGGAAATATGGAGCACTCGTTTCAAATAAATGTACGCACATTCGCGCGCGCACGCGCGCGCTCGCACACACACATAAATTTTATGTATAGATGTAATTTTTTATAGAATTTATAATTTTAAATTAAATTCATTAAATTGAATTAATTGAATTTAATTATATACAATTCTATAGCAAATACGTTAAACGAATTATAAAACTACAATTTTTAATAAATTTAGAAACTTGATTATAAAATGATTTTATTTTATCTACATGATTTTATTTTAAAAATATTTATAAGTTTAGGTATAAAAAATAGTATCATATGAGCACGAAAGTTTTGATTTTACTTTAAATTGTAGTTGTCGTTATATGTATCTTGAAAGTCTAAACGTATATATTATTTGATTTTAATCTTTGTAATAAATTTATTAGGATGTTAATATCAATCAATAAATAATGCCGTTACTTATTGTAGTTCTAGTTTAATTTCTATATATTTTAACTATGTTTTGATTTGATTAAAATTTATCATTGTTTAAAATATTTGATTGAAATATTATTGAATTTTATAATATTTTGAAATCTTTCAACAAATTCAATTAGCTCAGATCGTTAATTGAATTTTATTTTCGAATGAATGTACTAAAAATTAATGTAATGTTCAATTTCTTTTACATGTAAAATATCTTTTTAATATTTTAATATATATTATCTAAATAAATGTAGAGCTCGAATAAAGCTTCTATTGATGATTATTATAGATTTTTTACATACAATTCATATCTATTAATAAAATAAACAAAAACAAAATAAAACTTTTAATAAAATAATAAAATAATATGGATGTTAATGCATACCGTTGAATAGTTTCATTTAATTTCAGTTAACTCATTATAGGAATTGTTTTTAATGTTAATTATGGTGGGAATTAATACGAAAATAAACATAATAATGTATTCCATTATTCATACCCGCAAACGACTCTTGACTTGGTTACTATTGTTACTATTTCTTGTTTTCACTAGTTAAATAATTCAGATTTAAAATCATTAAATAAATTTTGATAAAATCTCAGTTTTATATTTTCTATTAAGATTAATGCACCAATTTTTATATAAAAAATATTTTTTATAATCATACAGATTTATAGAGATAATAATAGTTTTATACGTTTAATAATATACACATTTAATACCGTATATAAATATTTAAAAATAAAAATGTAAATTATTGTGTTAGCAAAAAGAATTAGTATGTAGCCCTTAATAGAAATATAGCAAAATTGTGATAATTATGATTTTGATAAGTTTCTATCTTTATTAGCATTAGTTATTTTATATTTTGCTTAAAAAATGGGATTTTTATGCTGAAATTATAATTGAAAACATTATAAGGAATTACATGAATATACATATATAAAAAATTATTCCAAATGCTCCACAATTTCATTATTATTAATTTGAAATTCATTGACAATTTGTATTCTGTATTAGTATTAAGATTAGAGAAATATTGTTCATTATATAAAATTTATTAACTCACTTTCTTAATTGTCTTAAATGAATAATAAAATTGCGTAGTTATAAATTAAAGAATAAATAAATAAATAAATGGATTGAAAATTGTTTATAAATATTTTTAAATGTTATATGCCAGAATCGTTTGGTATTAAATAAAATGATGAATAATTTATCTGAATAGACAAAATGGCTGATTATATTATTTATCATAGCGTTACTTGCAAGCGAGGATGAAAAGAAACCACCAGATGACAACGACCCATTACGTCGTACACGTCGACTTTTTGGCGGTTTAATAAATGACATTAAGCGGCGCTATCCCTACTACCTCTCAGACTTTACGGATGGCCTTAGCTCATCCTGCCTCGCTGCCGCTATTTTCATGTACTTCGCTGCTTTGTGTACGGCTATCACTTTCGGAGGTCTCATGAGTGATAAGACTCACAATGTCATCGGCATTTCCGAGACTCTAGTTTCGTGCTCGTGCACTGGTGTTATTATGGCCTTATTTGCAACACAACCACTGGTTATTATTGGAACAACCGGACCTCTGTTACTTTTCGATGAAAGCTTGTATAACTTTTGTTTGGCCAATGGCTTGGAATTTCTTACTATGAGAGTATATATAGGTGCTTGGATGGGAATTATTGCTTTGACTATTGCATGCGTCGAAGGTTCAGTACTGGTAAGTATTTAATAATTTAGTTTAAAAAATTGTATAAATTGTTATTTCTATTAATATTAATATAAATATAATAATATAAAATAATATAAAAATAATATAAAACTATATTAATATTCTTTTAATGTTTAACGATAAAACTGTCATTTTCAGGTAAGGCTTTTCACTCGCTTTACTGAAGAGATTTTTACCGGCTTGATCTCTATCCTGTATATCGTTGAAACATTCATTAAGCTCGTTAACTATTTTAATCTAAACCCACTTTTACCGGAATATTGTTTCAAACCTAAACTTGGCAATAATACAACTATTTATCAAGATACGATGCAGCAGCCAATAGCCAATGCTAGTAACACCGATATTTTGCGCTTGAGCGAATTAATTGCTGTATCACTGTATGGTAATCGTACTGATTTACAATCTAATCAGGAGCAGTTTATGCAGCTCACGTTGATTCCCAGTTACGAGAGAAATGGACTACGGATTAATCAGCCAAATACTGCGCTTATGTGCACTATACTTTGCCTCGGTACTTTCCTGGGTGCCTACTACTTAAGAATTTTTCGCAATAGTCACTATCTAGGCAGAAGTGCACGTAGAGCGTTTGGTGACTTTGGCGTACCTATCAGTATTATTACTTTCGTACTAATTGATTATCTAGCTGGCGTACAAACGGAAAAATTACTAGTACCAGAAGGTCTGACACCGACAATGCCTGGTAGAGATTGGCTTGTCAGCCCTGTCACGGGGGATGTGCCACTTTGGATGGCGTTAGCGTGCTGTGTTCCAGCTTTGCTCGTTTACATTCTTGTTTTCATGGAGACCCAAATTTCCGAGTACGTGCTTAAATTTTTAATAATCATTTTTTAACATATTTTAAATTATATTTTAAATGTAAATAGTATATATATATATATATATATTGATACAAAAAAATAAAATATTCGCTGTTTACTTTTTCAATGGTTGACATTAACAGTAGCTTTTATTGGTAAAAACTTTAATACTTACTCGATACTTTAAATTTATAATAGTATTTTAATGGTTAATAATAGCGTTTCCATGAACTTAATTATTGAGTATATTTATTGAAGATGCGTTAATTAGCGGTATGTAATCTTATTTTATTAATTCATAGGTTGATCATCGACAAAAAGGAGCGTAAATTACGTAAGGGCAACGGCTACCACATGGATATAGTCGTAGTCTGCTTAATGAATTTCGGTTGTGGCCTAATGGGAGCACCGTGGTGCTGCGCTGCTTCCGTGCGCTCTTTGACACACGTGAATGCCGTGACTGTGATGTCACGCACCCACGCACCTGGTGACAAGCCGCATATTGTCGAAGTAAAGGAGCAACGAGTTTCCTCCCTCTTAGTAGCCGTCCTTGTAGGAGTTAGTGTACTCATGGCTCCCCTTCTGCGTCGCGTACCAATGGCAGTACTTCTTGGCGTCTTTCTCTACATGGGTATTTCTTCGACAAATGGTGTTCAGCTCTTCGATCGCGTCAAACTCTTCTTTATGCCGGTCAAGCACCATGGCACCGCTAACTATGTGAGACGCGTACAGACGTATAAGATGCATGTTTTTACCCTAGTACAAATCACATGTCTTGTTGTACTTTGGATCGTCAAAAGCACTAAAGCCGCCCTCGCACTACCGTTCTTCCTCATACTTATGATACCGCTTAGAGCTCAAATGAGGTACTTCTTTAGTCCAGCCGAGCTCAGAGCACTAGACAGTAAAAACCCTGATAACGAGGAAGATGAACCAGATTTTTATGAGGAAGCGCCACTACCTGGTTAGAGTCAGTGCCTTATTATTCCAATTCCTAAATCTTTTTTTCTTTGTACCTCGTCTAGTAATCTTCCGCCCTTTTAAATTTGTTCGTAGCTCATTGACTATTATTATATGATTTTATTTCATTTCTGCCATATTATTTGTTTTTTTATAGTTTACATTTTTTATCTGACAATTTTAAAAGAATTTGAGGAATCAAGTATTCATACAAAATGTAATGTGTGTAATTTTAAAGGCATGTATATGACTTGTTTCATTTATCAACTAGTTAAACTAGTAGGTTGTAGAAATTTATGGAAATTACGAGTAAAATCTACATATTTTAAAATATTTTTTATTCAAAGTATCTCTTAAAATAAATATAATTTTTGTGTCGATTACTTATTTGTATATAAAAATATTGAAATTTCTGCTTTAATAATATAATCAGTATTTCATTGATTTTTTTATTTATATTAATTTTTACTTATAATTTTTTAACTATATTATTCTAAAATTTTATGCTATTCCTAAAAATAAATTTAATATATTTATAATCAATAATAATTTTTTTAACTTTTAACAATTTAACATACATAAATCGGGACAAGTAATTTTAAAAAGATTAAGTGTTGTTTATAATTTTATGTTATTTTCATACTGAAATTTGAATATAAACTACATTTCAAATAATTACTTCTTATACTTAATAATTATTTAAACTATATACGAGATAATTTCGTGTATTTGCATATTTTTATTGTTTATTGTGACAATGAACAGTAAATTTTTGCTACTACTGGAATACACGTAAGCAATGGTATAAAATATTTCTTTATTAAAATAAGAATTGTAAATATAGTAACGATGATGTTTATACTAAATGTTATCATAATCTATTATTTTTATATTAAAAAGATACATTTGATTAAATACATATTCAAGAACTTATTAATAAAAAAGTTCAAAACATAAAATAAAATATATGAATTCTCTAGAAATATTTCATGGTATGAAGTAATCATATACTTTGTTTATTATCAATAAAAAATGAAATAAAAATATTCATTTTATACTAAAATATTCGTATTCAGTCTATTAAATTGTTATATATAACAAACATTTGATGCAATACATTAAATTATTAATAATATTTAGTCTTACATATTAACAGAATTTTTCTGTATTTGAATTTTTTTTTAACGTTGTTTAGTTCTAAATCTTTAACTAACTATTAGTTTATCTTTTACACAAGGCTAGGATCTTATATTAGAAAAATCTTAATAAGTTAATACTCTCTACTTAGTTCTCAGTAATATCATTATATGTTTTTATAATTTCCATGTGCTATTTATAATTTTAGTTACTATTAAATTAATAACGAGAAGAAATTAATGAATGTGAATTTCAAAAATAAAGTTTTGAAACTATGTTTTAAGCAATCTAAAAACATTCCCATATCAGTATTTGAATAAAGTAATAAATACCCTATGGAGTCTAAATTGCATTATATCTTTTCAAAAACTTAATCATGAATCTCGTAAATAACTAGGAAATATGGAATATAGTAATTGAGATTTAATTAGTAATCGTTATCTCAATAATTACATCTTCTGTGTGCAAACAATGTATTCTTGAGGAATTGGATAAGATCCTATATTAGCATTGACAATTATTATAAACAAATTTAATTGAAACATTTAAGAGTAAAATTACATTAGGATGAGTTTTCTGTATAATTTTAAATATTAATCCACCAATTATATATGTGCCTATTCTTAACATATCTTTAATGACATTCTAACTTTTTATTAAGAATATTTTTGTAGTTTATCTTTTGGGATTCTAATAGGTTCTGAAATAATATACAATTATTTGGCTACAATTATTACGACGTTAAAATATTTATGTAGATTATTCATATTCTAACTTTTTTCAATTTTTTATTAATATTGCCCAGAATCTACTTATTATCATTTCTGCATCTTCAATATATGCGTAAAACCGATGTAATGTACAAAGTACTTTTAGATATATTTGAAATTCAATAGTAATAACATAAACTCAACAAATTTTAATATATATTATAACTTTTAAGAATGGTATGTCAGATAATTCATTAATTTTCATTGTTAAAAAAAGGTTTTAATTCTTTTAGATTCAATTAGTCAAATTAGAAAAAGGGATTGTTTATTTATGAACATATTCATTGTTCAATAATAAGAAAATATTACTATTCATTCATAATGTTAACGATGAAATTGCATTTAACATTATAATATGCAGAATATAAACTAATTATATACCTTTAAATATAAAATCATTGTTATAGATTTAAACTGAAATTCATTCAGTACCATCCGACAAATCCTTTTATTTATAACTATTTTCTTTTATGTGATGTGCTTCTATTACTGGTTATCTTTTACTCGCATTTCATATTAAATTACATAACAATAAAAGACCCAAAACTTTGATTTTAGTCTTGTACATGTATGCACACTAGCACATGTGCGTGCACACAAACGCGCACGCATTAATAATATTTTTGTATATCATTACTCTTAATTAATTTAAGTTTTCTATCTTTATCTTATCATCTCCATACCAAGTAATGTATATTCACTTCCTGTTAACATCATTTTTATTAACAAATTCTGAATTCTAAACCATTTAAGGAAAATATATAAAATAATAATTTAATATAAAAGAGAATTACTAATTTATACACACATATTTCTTACAAAAAATTTTATTCGGTTTATATTATTTTTTTTTTTACTTAATTTTATTTTCATTTTTATTGTGAATTATGTAATTACAAAAAGCTTTGTTATTATCAAGCCTTATTATCAAGCATTACCTTATTATCAAGAATATTTAATTTTCATCAATAAAAATAAATAAAATACTTCTTGGTATCTATGAACGTTAAAAAAATTAATGAAATTCAAAATATTTCTGAAAGGTAAAGTGAATATCATTATATTTGACTTGTACATAAATTGCATATATAAATTTTATTTCACATATATATATATATATATATATATATATATATATTATAAAAGAGTTGGTGAGTGATTTGTTCTTATCAATTGTTAAATAATTTTTTATTTATAAGAACATCATTTCATTATCTAAATCTCAACATTTAATTATTTTATTTTTAATTTACATTAAGTGTAATATAAGTTTTCATAATATTCTACAAAATCTTATGTTTTTGAAGAAAGAGCAAAACTAATACTGTTTCAGTTTAAAATTTATTTATTTTTGTTGAAAATTAGAAAAATTCAAAATTATTTAAAATATATTTTTTGTAAATATATATATGAATATGTTATAATTAAAATATAAAATATACATACGCTCATATGGTACCTCTATTAGCGCCTTACTTTAATGTAATATATTTATATAGTTTGAAAAAATGAAATTCTAATGTTTCTCATGTATTTTTATACTTGAAGAATAACAACAAAATTGTTGTATTATCTCGAAAATTCATAAGTAAAAGTGGTCATCCAGTGATAGAAGATGATTTTCTAAATAATCTTTAATTCTTCTTTTAAGATACTTAACATTCTTTCACCTAGCAGAAAAATTTATAATATTTATAATAAGAGCATTAACGGTTATAGATTTAATCTAAAAATTTATGAAAGTAGGTAAATAAAAAATTATTTCATTATATTCAAAATAATTGACATTATAAACAAAAATATCGAAGTGTACAAATTTAAAAGTTATTTATTGTTTAATCATAATATTATATTGTCTGTAATATCTCGCAATGGATAAGATTTCAGATCTTACAGTGAAATATTCGCGAGTAAAATTTTCTGCTATGGTCATGCTTATTGCCAATTTTGTGCTCAACACTGTTGATTACAGATGGTTTTAGGGCCTACACTGTGGGCAGAAAAAAAGAGAGTGCCAAAGTTATTTCCAGCAACTCATCATGACTCTTTTTGATTAATTATCAATTTAAATTTTTAATCTAATTCATCCGTATTCAAGTTTTTAATCACAATGAATTTCTTCCTTATTTTGATATCTAGTTAAGTTATTACAGAATTTTCAGATTTTAATAATAATAGAATAATACAATTACTTAATCTGTTTAAAATATACCGTTGCAATAAAATTATTTATGATAATATGGATAATTTCAAAGAAATTTGTACATAAATTTAATATATAAATGAAAAACGATCAAATTTTGCAATAAATTTAATTCATCAATATTTTATATGTATACATATTATGAACTTGATTCATTTAAGAATTTCATTTGTATATTTTCATTATATTATAAAAAATATATTTAATGTACACATCCTCTTTTGTGATATGCTAATCTCATTTTATAATTTAACTACATTTTTAATATGTACCTTAATCGATACTACCTCTTAAGTCAAGAGCATTAAATTTGTATTAAGAATAATCAAATTAAAGATGATACTTCAAACACTTTTACAAATATCTGTCCTTTATAAGTACTAGGACTATGTGAAAAATGAAGTATCTATAAAAACTGTGTAAATTATAACAGCAAAGATAAAAAGATAATATAATTTTTTAATCTCTCTTACAATGTAATAAAGAAAATTTGAAGAAATATACTTTATTACAATAAATACTGTAATTGTGCATGTTAATTCAATAGTAGTGAACTTCTGAATAAAATTTCAATTTTCAGACAATCTTATATTTTCTTTAATAAGAAAATGAATCAATGAACCGATTTTCTTTAAAATAAAAACTATATTTGTATATTAATAAAGGGAAGTATTACTTTTTTATCGCTGTAAGATATCTTGTTTTGGTAGTATTTGGAAGTTTATATTTTTTAAATCTCAATGTTAAAGTTTTTAAAAATTATATGTTTCTCAGGTTTCAAAAGATCTGAAAAAAATATTTTATCTAATTAAAGAATAAAATTAAGAAAGATTACAAAGAAATATATTTTTGTAATTTATAATGCAATCTTTGTATATGGAAGTTTGGTTAATAAAAATAAAAATATTTTTCTCATAAAGTAATATATATTTAAATATGACTAAGGATATTGAAGTAAATTCGCTTGTATATAATAATTCTAAATATACTTCCTTAATGAATGAACAATTTAAAATTAGTAACTAAGTCAGCCTATTAATAATAAAGTTACAATATAAATAAATATATATCTATATACATATAGTATAGAAGAAACGAGTTGAGTGCCGAGATTTACAAGTTTGGAAGTAAAACGGTGATAATGGATTGTTCTATATATTATATTGCAATAAGATAAATAATAATATTTTAAATTAAATTAAATAGAAATAATTTACTAAATGAAAGAATTATATATTATGCTATAGAGTATATTCTATTCTTACTAATGTTTTACTAATTAGTGTATATATTGGTCGTTAAATAATGAGAACAAAATGAACTTTAATGTTGGTGCTTATTTTAAAATGAAAAATGAACAAAAAAAAACTACTTAAAACAAATTTAAAAAATTAGTATCAGTACATTACTTACTATTGTGTTGGATGTAATTACATACACAAAAAATGAATAGTGTTAATTATTAATAAATATAGTCTCATAGTTAATTGTGATAAAGATCAAAGTGAATAAGCAAAGTTAAAGATTATACATAGGTCCTAACTGTAAAAATATTTTGCTTCTTGAATGGGAAGTAAAGGAGATAGTAAAAAATGTTATGAATCCAATTATATTATCTTTTAAAATAAATAGCGAGATTCATTTATAATTTATAGAAATTTTAAGAATTTATTAAGAAAATATTTTTTAAATTTCTATAAAATTTCTTATCATTTTTATAAAAAGATTAACTACATAACACATTTAAACCATTGTTAATAATTTACTTATATAATTATTATTGCAATTATGTATCGTTATTATTATTATAAATTTAAAGGAATTTCTTGTACTGCGAGATTATGATAAACTTTATTGTTATTGATATATGTAACGAATATTGTAAATAATCTAGTTTAAATGACAGTATTATGAGTAATAAAATATAGTGAACCAATCAGAAAATTCTTTATGCTTTAGATTAGATTAAAAAAATAAATATTGTAATTACATTTTTTCTTTTTTATATTCTTTTCACCTAAAAAATCATTTTTATATGTAAATTAATTTTTTAATATAATCATAAGTATTGTTTTTGTCTAAAAATATATAAATGAAATATTAAAAAAAATGTTTATAATTTTAAAAATAATATTAAAAGATCTTAAATATATATTTTATGTATTCATTTTATTATCAATTGTTAATTTAAAGTAAAATCTAATATTTTGTTATGTGACCTCTATTGTCCTCAATATAGAAAAATAAAGTCACATTATCAATCAATTAATAAAGTATCCAAGTCAAAACTTTATTAGTAAATTGTTCTAATAAGATAAATATCTGTTTAAAATATCGAATCAATAATAGTTAAATATTCTTTTTTTTTAATAGAATAATTATGTTAAATTTTTTAATAAAACTAAAGAAGATTAGTGATTATTAATACTTTTTTTTTTATTTAATGGCTTCTCCTAGATCAGGAATTTCTATCTATAAGTGTCTTTCTCCAAATATATCCACTATTAGGTAACGGTTTAATATAAAATTATTTCATGATTCATATTTACGAATTTGATTTCTATTTTATTTGGTTAATATAGACATACCACAAGTCCAAAAACACCTGTAAGAAATTCTTTAACTCTAGAAGATATTTTTGCAAACCATAAGGTTTCACCAATTTTTAATATTGATAGTCCTTATAAAAAAAAAATAGTTAATGAAGGTTTTTTGGAACAACATCATACAGTACTTGGAAATGGAGCTTTTGGAACAGTTTATAAGGCATATTATAAGGGTATACAAATGTACATTAAATAAAAGGTAAAACCGATTCTGATAATTCATTTTTTTCTTTAGGCAAAAAGGTTGCAGCTAAAATAATTAAAAGTAATAATAAAGGGATAGGTTCAGTGGGTATGGAAAGAGAAGCAGCATTTTTAAGACACATGAATATTATAAAAATTCTTAATGTTGATGAAGGACCTGTCTTAACGTTAATTACAATGGAATTATGTGGTAATTCATTGCAAAATATTCTTGAAGAGAGTTCAATTACTAAACATCAAAGAATTCACATTTGGCAATCAATAGCTAAAGCATTAAAATATTGTCACAAAATGGGCATTGTTCATGCTGATGTAAAACCAAAAAATGTTTTAATGGGTATGGATGATCAACCAAAACTAGCTGATTTTGGAAGTGCTGTTTTTGTTAATGATCTTTATATTCCTTTTGATTTTCATGTGGGTTTATTAATTTTTTGTTTTCAATGCAAATCATACCTTGAGAGGAAATGCTAGTGAAAATAATAAGATATATTGAATAAATAATAATATAAATTTTTTAATTTATAAACATTAAAACTTATTTATGTATAAACAGGTCATTTTTCAATTTAGTCTTTCATCTAATATAAACTTACACATTTTTAAATTGCTTATAAGATTATTACAATAAAATTTTTTAATTATCTTTTATATTTTCACAAACGATTTCCTATAACAATAGGTAATAAATAATTTCAATCATTAATAATAATAATTTTTAGGGTACTCCTGGATATGCTGCACCAGAAGTTGTCCGTGGTAAATTACCTACACCTTTATCAGATATTTATTCTTTAGCTATTCTGGCTTGGCAAATGCTTTCAAGAAAACCACCTTTTGCAGGATTACATACTCATACTATTCTTTATCTAACAGGAAAAGGGATAACACCTATTGATTATACTTTGAATGATGGCTTTCAAGGAAAGTACAAAGATTTGTATAAAAAATGTTGGAATAAGCAATGTGACGAAAGACTTAATCTTCTCACAATACTTAAAAAATTAAAAATACTAGAAATTAATATTTTTAAGGTATCTCGTTGACTTATTAGATATTGTTTATTTTTGCCAATCTTTATTAATAATTTTAATTTAGTATAAAATGAAATTATAGGATAATATAAAAATATTTTTAGGTTAGTTTTTAAAGTTTTCAAGTTTCTGGCATGTCTCCACCAGGTACAAGCTGCAACAAATTTGAAAGATATATTTATTTTAAATTATATTATTGTGCCACAAACTTATTATATAATTTATATACAGCGAATAATGTAAATAAACAAATAATTAAAAGTACCATTGTAATGTTGTTTCCATTTAATAATATTTGATCTAATTTTGTAACTCTCCTTCCTTCTGGAGTTGCTTCACTTTCTGTTACATCATCTAGCAGCATATTAACAAAATCATCAAAACCTTTCAAAGTGCCTACAATTTCTTTATCATTTTTCATAATAATATGTATCCTTGAACCAATACATTTATCGACCAATTCTAAAATACGTAATTATAAAATTATCAAAATTATTTATTTATAATAATGGAATCAAAATTATAATTATTAAGCTTAGCAAAAAATTAATTTATGTATTCAATTATTTAAAATTACTAAATTAATATGGAATGTCTATAGGTACCCAGAGGTAATAACGTAGAAGGGTTAGTTGTGACACTACTAGCACTCGTCATTTTTTATTAATATACCATTAAATTAATTTAAAAATTAAAAATATTTTATTTAATAATTAATGGATAAATGAAAACTTTTATTTAATTCTTTATTAGAACATGTGTTGATCTGTGATGTTGTATTCCAATTATTGCGCCTGCGCTTTACATCAGGATTTTTATTTCCCAGCATATTATAAATGATGCGCTAAGTCTAAAATTGAATAAAATTAAGTAAATTCATTTCATGATATATTTGATAATATATTTAGTAATAATATATTTAATTAGCTTATTCAGTAGAAGCAAATCTCACTTCATGAAAGTTCGTAAATATGTGTTACCCAAATTTAATTTCATTTTTAATCAATAATTCTTACAAATATATAATAAATATTAATATATTTAACACAATATAGGGTAAAACTTTTTCTCATTTTTGTTAATTTTTTATAAAATATTGTGTCTTATATGTTTACTATAATATTTATAATATAGAATTTACATATATTTGGTACGTTTGTGAATATCTATAAGACGAAATAACTCTGCCTATCTATATATACTTCTTTAATTTATATATATGAATTTAAGTATACATATATATTTAAAAAACGATTAATTGAAAATGCACAAAATATATATTAATATTTACGAAAAATAAAGTCTATTGTTAATGATGAATTTTATTTAAGAGTTCATTTTATCTTATAAATTATGTTACACTAATTGTTTACAGTTATAAATTACTGTCGTATAATATATTTGTATTTATAAAGATTTTAAAAAATACAAAGTACTTTAAAGTACATAAATAAGTTATACGTATATATATATAGTAAGTTAAACTGCAAATATTAATATTATTTAAAATCATAATATTTTACTATATACATTCAATATGATTTTTTAAATAATTTGTTTGAACTATGATATATAACATTAAATTTTTTAAATATTTTTTATTTTCTACTAAATGCATAAAACTATTTATATATGCTTATGAATTATAGGTTGTATTTAAAACATTTTTGTATATATAATAATAGAGAACAAAATTACATTTCATTAAAATTATTACAGTATATGATTGGATGAAGTTGAGTTGAGACTTGCCAACAAATATAGCAAAAGAATTATTCAAAGTAGTAGAATAATTCACTATATTCCGTTTAACAATATTGGAATTATTCATTAATATGAATTATTTTCTTTTCTCATAGTAAACCTAAAATAGCTTTTACGTAAGATTTAATTATCTTCTTATTCTTATGTTAAATGTTATTTGTTTAATATAAATTATAAACATGCATATTATATACTTTGAATGATTTTTAATCTTTATAATATTAATGTTACTTTTTCATTGTTGAGAAAGTTACAAAATACTGTACAAAAATATAAGTTATATATTATACAACATATTTTTCATTTATTGTTATAGTTATTTTGATCTAAATTATTGAGCTAGGAAACTTTCATTAATTTTATATGTAAATAATTTACATATTAAAATTTAAAAAATTAAAAAAAATTAAATTTTATATTTTAAACAATTTTAGTTTATAATCTTCAAAATAGAAATTAAAAAAAAAAGAATCAACATTTCGAATGTCATCCCATTACATAAATTGATGTCGTTAGTAATGAATGAGAAACCGTACTAGTGGGTATTTCAACATAACCTTACATTGTGCGACACGTGTTTTATTATACAAATTTTAGTTTTGTAAATAATATTTAAATCACGTATTAGATGTTTTTCTATTATTGGTAATACAATAAAGCTACAATAATGGCAAAGTTTTGTCTTAGTAAGTATTTATATATATGCCTAAATGAATATTTTAATTTAATAAAATTGTATATATCGTCGCATTTTTTGAAATATTAATGCTGAAAATATTATACTACTAATAATCGTATGTTATAAAAGTTGGAAAAATACTTATAATATGTCTAGTGATTATTAGTAACTAGTATTCAGTTTAACAACTATTATATTTTATTAATTTTAGTGCATAATCTGTTTTATAATTTAAAATTTTTTCAGAAAAACCAAGTAAAAGAATATTGGCTCGTAAGAGGTATAAAATAGAAAAAAAGGTCAGAGAACATAATAGGAAATTGAGAAAGGAAGCAAAGAAACATCCAAAAAGTAAAAATTTTGTTTATAAATAGAAAGTATTCAAATATATTTTACTTTACACATGTAATTTTTTAGAAAAACCAAAGTTAATTCAAATACCAAATCAATGTCCTTTTAAGGAAGAGATTTTACAAGAAGTAGAGGCATTTAAAAAACAAAAGGAAGAAGAAAAGCGAAAACAAAAAGAAGAAGCTCAGCAAAGAAAACGTGAAGAACTTGCTAATATTGGTATGAAGGGCTTATTAGATAATGCAGAAAGTAAACAAATGGAACATGAGAATGCCGAAAATATATTAACTAAAGATGCAAAAAAATATTCAAAAGAAGAAAATTCCCTTAAAGCTTACTATAAAGAGTTTAAAAAAGTTATAGATCAATCAGACGTTATTCTTGAAGTAGTTGATGCTAGAGATCCTCTTGGAACTCGGTGTAGCCAGGTTGAGGAAATAGTACGATTATCAAATGGTATTAAGAAACTAGTAATTGTATTGAATAAAGCAGATCTTGTACCAAGAGAGAATTTAGATGAGTGGCTGAAATATTTACGAAGAAGTTTACCAGCAGTTGCTTTTAAATCTTCTACACAAGATCAAGCAAAGAGATTGGGCCGAAGAAAACTTGGTCATAAAAAGGAAGAAAATATTCAAAGCTCGGTTTGTTTTGGAGCTGAATTATTAATTTCTCTCTTGGCAAATTACTGTAGAAGCTATGATAATACAAAAACTAGTATTCATGTAGGTGTTGTTGGTCTTCCAAACGTTGGTAAATCTAGTATTATTAATTCATTAAAGAGAAACAAAGCTTGTAATATTGGTAGCACACCAGGTAAATTATAAATAAAAATGTTTTAATTGTTATTACCACAAAATCACAAAAAAATTTTTATTAAAATATTGTAATATTCATATTTTAATACAGGTGTGACAAAATGTATGCAAGTAATACAACTTGACTCAAAAATAAAACTTCTAGATTCACCAGGTATCGTAATCGAAAACTCTAAAAATGTAGATCCATCCTTTATAGCATTAAAAAATGCTATCAAAATTGAATCAATAAAAGATCCATTTACCCCTGCAAGCTTAATTTTAAAACGAGTAACTACTCAACAATTGATGGAATTGTATGATGTGCATGAATTTCGATCACCCGAGGAATTTTTTGCAAAAAAAGCTACCAGAATGGGAAAGTTTAAGAGAGGTGGTATACCTGATAGTTTAGCAGCAGCTCGTAGTGTACTTACAGATTGGACTACAGGAAAAATCAGGTAAGATTTTTCAACCTTGAAAAACTGAATTTTTTAATGTATTATCACTATTATTAATCAGTGAAGAACTGTATTTCTTATCTTTGTATGAAAGTCAAAAATTTAATTGTATTTAAAAATTTTTTTTTAATTTTAAGAAATAAATGGAAGAACTTAAAAAAGAAATTCAAATAATATATTTTAATTATTACTTCTCCTTATTAATTACATCAATTATACATTTTAATAACCTATATACATAAATGCATAAAAAACTTAAAGAAATATAATTTTAAAGTAAAATATTTTTTCTAATTAAAGATTTTGTTTTTAATGAAATATATCTTTTATTTTATGTATCATTAGTTTTTAATATTTAATTATTTAAATAAATTGTTATATTAAATATAAGGTATGTGTATTGATATTTCATAGATATTTCACAGTACCACCTGAAGATAAAAATTGTCATGTATCTGCTACCATGATTAATTTAACCACAAAAGATTTTGATATTGAAAATTTTGCAGAAGAAGAGAAAATGTTATTTGATAATTTAACAACAAATAATAGTCTTAAATCTGTCATTCAGCCTTTAAAAATTGATAGTACAGGTCCAGTTGAAGCAGTGATGGATATAGAAGAAAACAAAATTGTATGAAAATCATTTTGATTTTTGTTTTATATTTTAAGAATTTTGTATTATTGAAAATGATAAATAATGATTAATTGATCCTAAAATATGTTTCTATGTTTAATTATCAAAAATACTAAATAATTATAATTAAAACTTGGAGTGATTATAAAAAATTATAAAATTAAATAAATAATAAGTAAGTGTACCCTTTTTTTGTAGAATGATAAAGTTTTAACTAAAAGAGCAAGGAAGAGACTTAATGCAAAAGAAAATAAAAATCTACTAATTCAACGAAAACGAAAAACTGATCCATTATTTGAAATTGAAGGAAATCAGCAGTTAAATAAAATAAAGAAGTTACAGTTTAAGAAACAGAAGAAAGAGTCTGGAAGAAGAGGTATGTTAAAATATAATTACATAAAATATTAATATGAAAGAGTTTACATTCAAAATAAAAATGTTTTACAAAATCATTTGTTTTAGCTAAAGAAGCCACAGAATTAGCTGATATTTTAGGTGGAGTAAATTTATCATTAAATGATTATGATTTTAAAACCGATTTTTCGGTTAAATAAAAAAAATACTTATAGGATTGTATTATTATAAATAAATTTATTACTGCAAAAATATTGAAAATATATTTATTTGTTTAAAAAAAAAAAGATAGAAGTAGATACCAGTAAACAGATTTTTATATCTATAGTTATATCCAGTTTCTTAGTTAATATTGTATATAATTTTATAATAAATTAAGTGTATTCAATTGTTTTTAACGTGTATAAGAATGATATATGCTTTAACTTCGACTAGAATTGTTAACTAAATAGGTTATAATTAATTAAGTAATAAAATGCTAACTAAATTTTTAGTAAATAGTTTAATAAATTTACTAAATAGTGCTTAGTATGTTAGTATTTTTAAATTAATTATTTCTTCTGTTTGTGATGTCTGCAATTTACATGATTATGAATAAACAGTTTTACAAATATTTAATAAAATATATTACAAAAATTAATGCAAATGATACAGTACATCATAATTAAATTGTATAAGTTTCATATGGTTATTACTTATTAAAACATGAAGATAAACTGAATTCCGAAAATAAATTTATAAATTATATATGTCGTATATATGCATATATTGATTTAAATTTGAGTAATTTATTACATTAACAAGTATTATTAATTACAAAATTTTTTAAATGTATATAAAAATATTTAAATAGCTATGTTAATATAGATTTGAAAAAGTTGAATTGTTATTTAATAATCTGAATATACTTTTGTTTACATATAAAATAGTTAAAGAATTTCATTTACTTAATTAAAAATTGGATACCATTTTTGTATAATTAATAAGGTTCTGTATTAAACATTGCTTATTTTTTAATCTTGATATTAAAAAATGTTTCTATATTATGCAATAAGATTGTATATTGTAATTCAAACAAATTTTCATCCATATATTATTTGAATTTTGGTACTTATTGATTCAACTGAAAATAAATAATCTATTTTGGAATGAAATATAATTTGTTCTAGAAAAATTTTAATAATTTAAAATTGATAAAATACGTATTTAGAATGCACTCATACTATTATATTTTTATTATAATCTGAAATATAGTCTTTAAAATTAATCTATTTACATGAGTATATAATATGGTGAAATTTAAAGAATAAACTTTATCGAAAAGTGAAATATGTAATTAGAATAATTTAATTATGGAATAATTTTGTGGAATTAATATGAAATATAATTGTTGTTTTTGTATAATGAAACCTATATATTATACTTATAATTATTATTACAAAATAAATCTGTAATATCAAGAATGGAAAATTTTGATAGATTCATGTAAATAAATGTATTCTAATAACATTGTAAGAGATTAATAAATTTGAATATAAATTCTACATGACATTTTATATATTTGAAGAATTATTTAACATGGTATTCGAAAGCATTTAAAATATTTTTATTAAGATTAGGATTTCAAACAAAGTTATTATTTTTTTAATAAAATTGAAATTGTATGGATTAAATTAAATTTTTTTATTGTGATAGAGTACTTTAAATAATAAAAAAATAATTATCTACAAAAATATAACTAAAAGTAACGAAGAATGATTACAAGAAAGTAAATGTTTTTGAAATAAAAATATTATGATCTAAGTATAGCCTGTTGTATGATAAACACGTAAGCGAAAGTTTTATTCGCCTCATTCTACTGGGGACCAGTAGTTCTTGAGATAACGATTTGCTCATCTTGAAAAATGTTTCGAAAAAAAGCATTTAAAAGTTTTCTTGACATCCGAACCTCTCCTTTTATCTCTACAATTTTTGTTATCCTTACATAATAATTATTTATATATAATAGAGTAAAAAATTATAATATATAAAAAAGAATTTTTATAAAACTTATAAGAAAATATATGATGTTAGATTCAAGACATTTTAATATTTAATCATATACATAAACGATATTTTGAATTAAATATTAATATAAATGTCAACAGATATTAGAACAATTTACTTTTAATAGTTTTTAAAATTTTTATTCATTTACGATAAAAACTTTCTTCAAAATACAAGGCACTTTAAAAATATTAATTTATAATAATATATTATTCTAAAGATCGATATATTATAGTTAAATATAGATTGCTTAAATTTAATATCATAATAATTAAGAATCATTATTCAATATGAATTAAATTTATTTATGTTACATTAAAAAAAAAAGTTAAATTTTTTTGGAATATCCGATTAATCCTAAAGTAAAACCAAACGAAAACTCAATTCCTTTTTAAAAAAGTATTGAAGATTTTAGCTATCATCTTTTAAGTTATTTTATCGATTCAAGATATAATTTAATCGATTTATTCAATATAATTTTTTTTTAATAAATTATATATTTAATTCTATGAGTAAATTCTACCTGTACATTATCACAAAGTAGGAGATATAATCAAATAGAAATCAATAAAATATACCTTTTATAATTTTTTTCGATTAAAAATTATACAAAAAAATATATACACAAAAATAAAAAATCCATTGATTTTTTTTTATTTTAATTGTATATCATATAATTGTATGAAATATAAATAATATGACATCTTTTTTTATATTAGTAGTCAATATACTTCGTAAATACAAAAATATTAAACACGTTTTCAAATAAATTATATATTATTGATATTTTATTGATTTCTATTTGATTATATCTCCTACTTTGTGATAATGTACAGGTAGAATTTACTCATAGAATTAAATATATAATTTATTAAAAAAAAATTATATTGAATAAATCGATTAAATTATATCTTGAATCGATAAAATAACTTAAAAGATGATAGCTAAAATCTTCAATACTTTTTTAAAAAGGAATTGAGTTTTCGTTTGGTTTTACTTTAGGATTAATCGGATATTCCAAAAAAATTTAACTTTTTTTTTTAATGTAACATAAATAAATTTAATTCATATTGAATAATGATTCTTAATTATTATGATATTAAATTTAAGCAATCTATATTTAACTATAATATATCGATCTTTAGAATAATATATTATTATAAATTAATATTTTTAAAGTGCCTTGTATTTTGAAGAAAGTTTTTATCGTAAATGAATAAAAATTTTAAAAACTATTAAAAGTAAATTGTTCTAATATCTGTTGACATTTATATTAATATTTAATTCAAAATATCGTTTATGTATATGATTAAATATTAAAATGTCTTGAATAGCAATTCTAATTCGAATCAAATATTTATTTGAAAATGTTTAAATTAATTTAAATTTTATGTGAAATAAATCATTTTATATGATGTTTTGTTTATGTATATAAAATAAAATAAATAACGGGTTTCATTTACATTATTAATTAATAATTAGTTTCTTATAAATTATTTTTAGTATTTATAAAAACATTAATAAGTTAATTTTGAAAAGTGATACTTAAATTTAAATATAATATATATTGTATTCAGTGACGTATAGCAATATACTGTATTTCTTGGAATCTAAAAATAATGAATGGGATTATTACTTCAAGTATTATATTACTTAGATTATTTAAAAAAATAATTTATTCACCAGGATAAAATTTTCTTAAATATTCTATGGAATATTGTACGGAATATTCTGTTACTCCAGGAATGAATTAAATAATTGATTATTTTTAATTCGAAATTGTTCATATAAATAATTTCGGCATGCACTGATTTGTTTGTTTTCGCCTAGAATTAAAAATAAAAAGAAAAAAGGCACTTAGCACTCGCCATCAATAAAATTCGTTGATCGCGTATAGATTGTACGTCTATCTTGGTCCGCATTATCGCGTACAAGTGAGTTTATTGTTGAAAGTGTTGAAACTGCAGACGAGGGAGTTCCATCGATTGGTACGGAAGTGTGTTTTTCTTGTAATTGTCACGTAGATCACGATTTAATTTCGAATTACTTTTTGATAATTCAATTTTTGAACTTTAAAGGAATAAATCGTTGTAATAAGACAACTTCAAAACTTCAGTAGTCCGCGGCGATTATACCTGGACTTTATGAACGGAAGCTCCGAAACAAATTTGTGAGTAGCTAATGACTAAAATTCGATACAAATGATTCTGCTAAAATTGAGTGAGTAATTTTTTTATTATTATAAATTGTCGTATTTAAAACGTTTTTCAAGTTTTGATAATTGTTCTTACTTCTACAATTAAATAATAAAGAAGTATTTACTGTGATAATAATATAATAACTAATTGAGTAATTAAAAAATAATAATAATAATATTATTAACGCAAATAATAATAATTAGAACAACAATAACATCACATAAAAAAATATGTAATGTTTCATTTTTAAAAATTAATAAAAATTTAGTTACATAGATGTTAGTATAGGTTTACTTAAATTATAATCAATTTAATTTAAATATTAATGAGTATTTGTATATACGTAAAAATGAATACAAAATAAATGCATAAAATACAATATATTTATTCAGATGTTTATCAAGATTATTTTTATCAGTTTTTATTTTTGTGAGTTCGGTCAATTTAATACCATTCGTATACACTGGAGCTTTATAATTATATGATTAAAACACGATAATATTTTTTTATTTATCATACTAAAAATGTGTGAGTTATATACTACAGTACATTTTAAACGCTTTCCAATTACAGCAATACTTAGTTAATAAAATATAATATAATTACAGTTATGTATTTAAATTTTGAATTTTTCCAATTGTAAAACGTACGTGTTATTGTTATAAAAACATGGAGTTTAACATCATTATTATTATTATTGTGTTATCTGTTTTTACTAAGAAAAAGTACAAATTATGACATTTTTTTTTATTAAAATTAATAATATTTATTAAATTATATAAATACAAAAATGCTATTCGTTATATCAATATTAAAAAAAAAATTATTCTTTTTATAAAAAAAATAGTACTGTCTACATAAAATTTCTAGTATGAAATGTATTCTATTACAAAGATATATATCCGTTACTTTATTTAGTTTAAATTAGAGACTAAATATAAACGGAAAATAAGATTACTACAAAAGCATGTAAAACAAATGCAGTAAACTATTGCAAGCACAAAGCGAAATATAACGCAAAGAAACCAATTATTTAAATGCGGGACAAAATGCTGGCTCATGCAACATCATATAAGCAATAAACAGTGGTAAATCTTAGAATGACACGATGGATATTTTCACAGTAGATAAGATGTCTGGTCAAACGCAGAGGCCTGACTGGATTCGTCCATCAGGGCCCTTAAATGTATGGAAATTCATCGATGATTATGAAATGTTACTCGATGGAACCTGTAGTCCGATCAAAATTTCCATTCCGGAAATTCCTCCAGATAGGCACGAGGAGGTTATCGAACACATGTGCACATACTTTATGAACGAGGATCCAATATGCAAGAGCCTAAGTATACTATTATTTTCATTTATTTTATTTTCTTTTTTAACTCTTTCTATAACAGAGAGAGAGAGAGAGAGAGAGAGAATTTAATTTCTTGATCGCGTGATTGAAGTCTATTATATATCACAATCGTGGTTTACCTCCAACAATATACATGCTTTTCTTTGATCCTCTAGAACCTGCTAGTCTCAAATAACAGATATATTGTATCCATTTTTTATATATTATATCTAACATAATTTTATTATTATATAAAAAAAAAAGTTATAATGTTTATTTGGAATATTATATTTAAATAGCATTACAATATTTTGTATTTAAAAGAAATTAAAAATAAATATTATTAAAAAATAAATACTAAATATTCATTTTTTAATAATATAATATAATAATATAAGTTTATAAATATATATTAATATATATTAATAATATAAGTATATAAAGTGATAAATATTTTAATATGAATTTTTTATGCCTATCTAATCGAAATATATAACTATAATTTTTATATTAGTTTGCAAAATTTTGAGTATATTTTAAATAATTTCATTTAATGATAATATACTCTAAAATAATATAATATTTTTATCATGGAGCTTTTGTTTTTCTAATCAGAAATTATTAATAGTGATTATTTGAACTAATAATAGTAATTCTGTCTTTCAGAAAAAAATTTTCATCTCCTTTATCTATAAGACTTTAAAATTTATTATGAGCTGTCTCTAAAAGCAGGCGTTTGCAAGTTATTTGGAATTGATAAATACATATATGCCACTGGTTTAAGCGTTGCGCCTGCTTACCGCGGACAGAAACTTGGACAGCGATACTTGAAGTTAAGTAATTTATGATAATATTTGCATATACTATATTCTTGTAAGAAATATAAATTGAAGTTCACTTTCACAAATTAAATGTTAAAATTAAAACTATATTTATGAAATTTACTTATTTTATTAAACAATAAAATAATATTAATTTCTATATTAATACAAATTTATAGGTTTATTTGTCACTTATTTTATAAATTTACATTTAGATGAAATTTCAATTTATACTAAAGAAATGATAAGCTTTTAAGAAAAACAGAACATCTTATGACGTTCTAATATTTTATTCGTTTATTAAGATAATTACTTATCTATATTCGTTTTATTTTACTTGCATTCAATAAGGATGAATAATCTTTTACCTGTTTCTGTCAATTGATGAGATGCTATTTTTTTTAGAACTTCAAAATATATAATATAAAGTCAGGATATTAAATATAAAATAAAATATACGTAACTAATTAATATAAAATGTCATTTTTTCTTTCTTTAAAATTAATTATATAATTTCAAATGTTAGCATTAAATATCTAATTTCAAATACTATATACTTTTCTGGGTAAATATTAATTTACATTTATTATACATATTTAATTAATTTATGTTACTTTAAAAAACATTGAGTTAATTCAGGTTATAATTTTTTCAATATTTAAAAATATTTGGATTTTAATTTACATTGGTATATAATTTTCGAAATTAATAATATAATAATATTTACGTTCTTTTGAATATTTAAGAACCGATATTGGAAGGTATTATGGAATTAAGACATTTCAACTTTTACGTCTATAACAGCCAAGATCTTGGCAGAGCGCGCTGGATTCAAGGTTGCGCATACTCAGTATTACGCGAATATATTAAACAAAGATGGAACTCCTATTTATCCGAATCTTGAAGCGGTAGACATGAAAATTATGATAAAGAAATTAGAATAGTATGAAATTATGTAAATAGCTTATATAAAATTTATTTTTAATTTAAGCACGAAAATTCATTATAAATTTGTAATAATAATTATATATTCAATATCAGTAATTCATTGTATCAATGCAATACCTTACTACTATAAATTTTTATTTGTAATCATTATCACGGCTTTAATAAATTATAGAAAAATTAATAAAAAATTAAATAAACATAATCATTATTTATTTATTTAGAACTCTGATTTCACTAATGTAATTGTTAATGTTAATTGTAATAAAAATTAAATATGATATATATGCATCAATGAAAATAATATCTGATGCAATTGTTTTAGTCATCAAATTGGCATAGAAGTAAAATAAAATTGAAAAATAAAGATTTTCAAGATATCTACAATATCCAAAGAAGATTAGTAAAATGAAGTTTCAAAATGTAATGAACATCTTTTCATTTTTTTGATTATTTTTAAACAATGTAAAATGAAAATATAATAATATAATTTAGAAATTCGTTATAATTTCGAAATTTGGTTTTATAAAGCATAAAGGTTTTCATAGGTAGGTATAATATTAGTTTTTTTATATTGACTTTTTGTTTTATGTGAACTTGAAATTTCTGCCTCTATTCTGTATTAAGAATTTGTATTTATTTATAGCTATAAAAATATGCAAATTACAAACATAGCTTATCACTCTGAATAATTAATTACATGTGTATATATACACAAATATATATTCATAAGTATGAATTCTTATCCATTTAAATTTTGGAAACGCATACCCACGTGCACGCACACGCATACATATTGGTTTCCTAGTTCTTCGAATATATTTTGTAGAAATGAAGTGTAAATACAAAAGCTAATAATAAAATATTATTATTTATTTAAGAAAACTGAAACAAGCTGAATATATTTTCTATTTTAGCGTTTGTATTTGCCTTAATTTAGAAAACTTTATTATTACATCCCATTTTTTAAGTAAATGTATCATTAAAATGTAGTGCTTTATTTTTCATAATTTAAAATAGTATTATCAATTTCAATTTTGTATATATTTATAACAATTTTATAACGTATATTTATTAATTATTGTAATAATACACAAAATTATTCATGACAATTCTACAATTTTTCATTTTGCAATAATTTTATAAAATAATTAATTTTTAAAAATCACGTTATGAAACTAATCATAGTAATTTTTCTTTTACACTTAATGTATAGAACTAAAAATAATTTGTCCCTTTCATTTCAACAATTATAATTAAAAAATGTTTAATCAAATAATTGCAAAATTTTGAAAAATTTTATGGGCGACTGTATAAATTTAATTGATGGAACTGTGTAAGACAAAAGCTATCAAATTATATATAATATGTATATTGGATAATACATACTTTATTGCAATAACAAATGAAATTCAATAATTAGTTGAACGAAAGATTTAATAATATTGTATAAAGTAATTCACAACCATATTGTTCGAGATTTAAGCCAGTTTCAAGACCACCCATTGTCGGCATCGCCGGCCCTTTCGGATCTCAGATTTCTGTAAATACTTGGACGAGAATTTTTTGTGTCTTGTTATGTTTTAGTTTGAAGTGTCCCGTAATGTTTATTTGGTCTTCGGGTAATAAAATCGTCCGGAAGTTTTCTATCGGTATTACGCTTGCTTTTTCTTTCGTCGAATTCTTGAAAGTTCTAGATTTTTCTTTCTACGCCTTGTGTAAGAATTCAGTGCAAAAACGACGATGCTTTGTTGCCAGCTAAGTGAGCCGCCGCGTGGATATATAAGGCAAGCACGCGGCGCGTCTTGTTCGCTTGCCGAACCACCCGCGCTCAACTGTGCTTGCGGCTAACCTCGTGCCGTGACCCGACCACGGTGACCGACCATAGTGAACCGATCTAACCATCTACCAGTAGAAGCTATGGCACACAGGTCTCGATCTGCCCTCAGCAGGACCGCCATGGAACCGTCGGTATTTTCAGCAGAGCCGCCACTGAACGATCGATCAAGTCTTCGGTTCGTGCGCGTATTCAAAGGCTCATACTCTCATTGTAATCCTACTTCGCGCTCACTAAACTGTAATTGCTGCTCAGTGTTTTAGTATATACTATGAAGACGACACGTGGCCATATATTTGGCAGTCTAGTTAATAATACACGTGTGCATCAATAAAAGGAAATTGGCAGGTTTGGAAGTGAATTACAATGAAGCCAGTTGGAATAGTAATCAAAGGGGACATCAATTACGCAGCAACTAACACACCTTGTCTGCAGTTCATAAGGTACATTTCTATATTAATAAATAAGCTAGTCACACCTCGCACAAGAATAAATCTGGCAATTTATATTCTTTCTCAGTCGAACCAACGCTTGGACTCCGTACGGTCTCTCTCGGTCGGATCAACGCTTTGACTCCGTACGGTCTTTCTCGGTCGGACCAACGCTTCGACCCCGTAGAGGCCCATAAGAGTCGATTCAAGCGACGCAATTCGTCAAGCATATTGTCAAGACCAGACAAGAATATATTGAATAATCGACTACAATTACATTTCATTAAGTCCTTCAAGAGCACAAAGACTTATCATTAATTAATTACTCGTGTGTGTGACTAGTCTTTTTACTGCCCCCATAAATAATTAAAGCATAATTGATTACTCAAATTCCATTAAACATCTTACACCATATCAAGTATATTTATTCATACATCAAGCATACTTGATTCAAACACCATCTTCTCATGCTACTTCATAAGCATGATTGACTGACTGCATCAGCTGATATTTACAACATCAGCATTACCTCAACTTCAAGGCACAGTAAATCCATAGCATCTACAGTAATTTAAGAATACAAGAATACACCCTCACTACTTCAATAGAATATTTCCCTCTACATCAAAGTGCAATATTATTATAATCATTTACAAATAATAAACATTGTTTTTACTAAATACATGATATTTTTCAGCCTTGTCCATTATTATTTCCTTTAAAGTTATCCTGGCGAGAGACTAATCCACTAAACTGTTGAATTGGTCGTTCGAGCCATAAACTAAACCTCTAAAATCGAACACATTCTCATTGCAATTAAATACTTTTATGATAATTGAATAATAGTTTGTAAATGATATCTATCCATACTATTTAATCCACGTTTTCATGTATATTAATTTATATTGTAATAATATTTTTTTCTTATTTTGCCATAATATAGGGGAAGTGGGAGTGAGGGACGGGGAGGGAGAATGTGTGTGTGAGTGAGAGAGAGAGAGAGTAGGATTTTCGAGAGTGGAGCAGGGGGAGTATGTGTGAAAAATAGTGCGAGTGAGTGCGATGGGTCGAGGCGGGTGGAGGGGAAGAGAGAGTTAATATATATTATAAGATACTGTATATAAATTTCCTTATGGAAAAGTACATTATTTGATTAAGGTATAAAGAAACTTTTCAAAAAGAATTTTCATTTAATATAAATCAGCGGATTAAAATTTTGTACATTTCAATAAATTTTAATAAATTTAGTTCAAAATTTAATTTGGAGATACGGAATAAAATCTTACGATTTTGGCTATTATGAATTTTGTATGAATTATGAGTTCAAAATTCGTAATTGTTGCTTAATAAAAAGACTATATACGATTTAAGTTTTACATAACAATATATAATGGAGTCTTAATCATATATCAATTTCTTTTATTATAATACTTATTACCAAAAATAAAAATATTATATATCACATGAGAATGTGATATATAATGTTTTATCAGATTACATATACATTTATTACTATTATTGACATTGTTAACTTATACAATAATTTATTATTTGATATAAAAATTTATTGTGATATGAAATTATATTTCGTGTTATGCGTGAAACTTTGGATAAGTATTATTAATTAGATAATTATAATTATTTTTTTTTAATTATCACTTAATCAAATCATTTATTGCAAATTGTAAAAGAAGTTCCGTCAAATGAAGTTCTATATTTTTAAATTAATTTTGATAGAAGATATTAAACTCATTCAATCAGAACAATTAATATAAAGTGAATATATTTTCCGGAATTTCAAAAAATTATATCAATATAAATTATATACTTATAATTATTATATAAAAATCATATGGTTGTCATTTGTAGAAATATGGTCTTAAATTGGCTTTATTTCAATATCAAAAATATAATATATGGTATCAACACAATATAATTTTAATTAAATACGGATTTCAAGAGCTCGAACTGAATTCAAGATTAAAGATATTCTACAAGAATTGAATTGAGGTAAGATTACTTAGAACGAAATATCTAAGTTGATCTAGATGAAAGTGCCTAAATAATGGGTAGACTAGAGGAGACCAAATACATCTACGATGGACAAATAATTTGAGGATATAAGGGTATGATACTGACATATTTAGTGTACAATTTTCTACGCTGTTATGAATAATATTATTTTCACTCCTAATAAGAAGTTAGTAAAGGCAATATTTAAATATACTCAGAATTTCTATTTATTTTCATTTCTCTCATTCTTTTTAATGCGTAAACAAAATTTTGAATTTTTGTATCAAAATAAAATATATTTATTAAGTGTTTACGAATATTTTTTGTAGTATTTATAATATAACAATAAAAACATTATTTTTTACTCTACAATAAACAAAAACCGAATTACTAAAATAGAATATATTCTATTTTAAATTTTAAAACCAAAGAAGTATTTTTATTACAATACCGCAAAATATCTAACGTTATTTTGTAAAAATTAAGACTATTTGACTTAAAATGAAATGAAATCTATTTAATAGTTGGTAAAAGATAATTGTAATGGTGTATTATTTTTTTTTAATGCTAAATCAACCTTATTCAATATAACGTATGTTCGTATAAAAAATATATATCACTGATCGCTGATCACGAATCACTGATATATCACAAAGTATAAATCACCGAAACATTGAATAGCGTACAAGTTTATAATTAATAACTAATACAATATAAT